GCATTTGATCGGCCCTGCCACCGGTGACATAAACAAAATAGGGTGGTGGGCTGGGGTCCTTTCGATTCAGAGCCCCATCACCACCAGTGCCCCTTTGGTTTCTGCATCCCACATGCTTGTGGAACTCGAACACCAAGGCAGCTTCCAACATGTGAACTAAATCAATGCTGGTAGATTTGGCTATGAGCCACATACTCGTGAAATTTTGCTGCTGCATGTAAAAGCTAAATCTCACGGATGGGTCCGCTGTGACCCCGACTTTGAACACAGTCAATTTGATACCTAGCTTTTCTCTGAAGCTAGTGACCTTTTCTATACAATGCTCCAACAGTTTGCCACATGTTGGTCTGGACTTGGCGATGGGCATGAGATGGTCCACCAAGCCCGGGTTGCCACAAAGCACCACGTCCTTCTTGAGAAGCTTGCTCGAATTTTCCTGAGAAGGCAAGACTACGACCAGGAGGGTCAGGGTTACAACTTAGAACACTCAATCACCATGAGCAGCCCTCGACCTCAACCCTTGACTATACTATCCAAGTGTTTCCGCTGAGGTGCATCATTCATGGCGATCTTCCGCTTTGGTGCAGCTACAGGCAGTGACTTTGGAGGATCAGGATGCAAAGGCTCTCGCTGGAAGTAGTCCATGTACAAATCAATGTCTTGTTCAGAATTGGACGAAGTGGGGTTGCAATCATCTGGAAGTCTTGGTGTTTTGATTGGCCTTAGTTCCAAAACCATGAGCTATTGTTGGGAGAGGCTGGGCATTGTCACAACCATTGGACTGTCTCAAATCACCCCAAGTCACGCAGAGGGTGCAGCAGGTCGACCTGCAGTTCTCATACTCCCAGTAACAGGGCAAGTGTAGGTGAGCAGTTCCAGCAGCAAATCATCGTCATCATTGGCCATGAACGGCAAATCTCACACGCATGAAACTATGATGAGTTCAGACCACAAGATGTCACCGGCAGTAGTTGTTACATGTATCCATGCCTGCATGCACATGTATATCTTAAGGACTGAACATGCAAAGCAACACACGATACATGGGCAATGCCATAATATGATAAAGAGCACTGTGGCCACATTTGGAAAGAAGGTTCAAGGATGCACAGTGACATAAAATCCCACCCACTCTTCCCTCCATATGCCTCCAGGCTGACTGAGGAGCCCGACGCCGTTGGCAATGAGGCGGGAACAATTCCGAACAACTTCATCTTGGTCACGTCCACCTGGCTGGAACACAAGGCAATAGGTGAAATAGATGTGCGTGCAAAAGTGCACGCACGAGGGACTGAACAAAGCCATTGAGTTGGGTGCATGTGTGTGTGTGTGCGTGTGCATGGAGAGTGTTGGCTGGCTAGCTTGCATTGTGCTCGCCCATGAAAGGATCAAAGCAGCATGCGTGTGCCTTTTCTCGGGCAAATGCCATCGCTCTCAAAGTCATGCCGTTTCTGACTCTTCACGTGTTAACCATTCCAACACATGTTTGCGAGTCACGGCGCCCAACAAAATCTGGGCCCTGGTCAAGTGAACCTTATGGTCCATCATGGACCGCCCACCCCCGCCCGGTTCAGCCGGAAGAAGAAGTAGGTTGAGCAGATTTCCGAAGAATCTTAAGAAGGTTCCTGGAGGATAGGGGCACAAACAGGTGGGAAACTTCCATGCATGAGTGTAGTCCAAGGCTTCCCAAAATGAGTCATAGGTTGAGCCAAAGTACCTGGCTGCAACCTCCACAGCATTCACTTTGCTGCACCTCAGCCCCGGTGCCCCCCTGCATGGCAGGAGCGCTTTTAGAAGTACATGGACAAGGCGCGCCCCGGTGGTTTTGCGGATCTGGGCATCGATCTTCTTCAGGTGCCTGAGAAGATACCAGCTGAACATTCCAAAATGCTGCAATACCAAGTGGTGTGTGTGTGTATTGAAATGGATCTTATGGGCAAGGAGCTCTTTGGCCACAGAATCAGCCAGGTTCTTCTCACTTTCAAGACCGGAAACATCCAATCTCACTTGCTCACAACCTTCATACTCTCGCTCCAGGGTCTCGCATGCCGACTCTAGACCTTGCACTGACCTGAGCTGGTGGGGCCAGCAGAGGATGGCAAAGGACACGGGTACAGCAGTTCTTGGTCCAACTTGTTTCATGAAAGTGTAGTGAAGTCTCAGCAGAAGACTTGGTCACACGTTTTCCTTCAGTACTGTCAGGTTTCTTTCCAGCTTCTTCAAGGGCAGTCTCTAAAAGCTGGCACAACTCCGTAAGCTTGGAAGATCGGGCAAGAAGACTGTTGCTGAACGATACCATTCTTTGTATATTCCTGCAAGTGTTCAATGTTGTTGTTTGTTTGCAAGTTGACATGCGCATGTTTTACCTTGCAATACCTTGCGATGAACACCCAAGAGAAACAGTTCCTACAAGGTTCCTGCTTGGCGCTGTTGGCCTCCTTCGCACCAGCCTCCTTCTCCGACTTGTTGTCATCAGAATCAGGGTCATCTCTCACATGGCCCAGCCGCTGGAATTCGATTTCATCATCTGCAACCTGAGGTTGGAGAGCTTGGGGCCCAGGATTTCGTGAACATATGCTCATTGAGAACATCCTATGGCCTGGAGCCTTATTTTTTTAAAATTTGGGGAGGGAGCATCTTGGTCAACCTTCTCTTGGCGCTCTTCATCTTCTGACAACTCTTCGTCACCCTCCTCATACACAACATAGTATTTCTTGAGCTTCTTATTGTAGCGATCTTTCCTCACGTCCAAGCTCTGGTCATGACCCCATGGGTTAGTGGCAATATCACAAGAACATTGATGTGCTGAGTCTGCTGTGCATTGATTTCAGCTGCATGGCAAACACAGTCCCTTTCATGCAAGAAAGTTTCTTGGTCAGCCGGTCGATGTTTCCAGGTCGCTCGCAATACTCCACCACGCTCTTGATGTAAGACCTGGGATTTTCTGCAGGAGTTTGCCAGTCGCGATCAAGCCTATAGGGAAGTCACCCACAGATCAACAGGTGTTTTGTTGTCAATCTCATAAGACAAGGGGCGCAGACCAGTTCAAAACTCGAGCCATAGCCTCTTTTGTAAACCAACCTCTCTTCTTACGCTTGCTGAGCTTGTTGGTTTTGGACAAGGTCTTGGTGAGTTTGGTGACGAACATATCCTGGGGGAGATCAAGGGCAAAGATAGTAAGCAACTCCACGGTAAAACCCCCATGAAATGAGCCATGCCAAAAGCGCACTACCTGAAATTGTTTGACCAAAAACTGTCCTTCGACCATCCCAACGAATCAAGTTCATCACACATTGCTTCCTTTTCTTCTTTAGTGCTTTTCTTCCATCTCTGGTGAATGTGTTCTGGTACATTACACTTGCCTGACGGTTTCATCTCACACATGCGTCGCAGCCGGTTGAGCCTTGCACCTTCAGTCAGTGGAGGTTTCAGCTCTGCCGGCGGTGTGATCTTGGGCTTGGCAGGCGATGGGGCTGAAATCTTGGGGGGAGGTGTGGTATAAGCACTCTTGGAACTGGATGCATTCTGACCCTTCTTCATTTCTTCCATCTCTAGCTGCATTCTTTGGTTGGCCTTTCAGGGAGAACCAAGCGTGGAGAAAGGCTACAATATGCTACAATATGAACATACTCTGCGTATGTGCAGTCTAAAAAAGTACAATCCCAAATCATGAGGCCTTGCGGAGCTCTTCAATCAACTTGTGCGGGTCCTCTTCTGGTTGTTTCCCCTTCATTCGCTTTGGGGGCTTGGTATTCGGTGATGTCTGGTGTGGCTTGGCAGGGCTGCGAGGGTGTTTCTCTGACGATGCCTTTGGTTGTGCTTTTGCCTTCGCCTTGCTCTTGGCAGACGCTGGTTTCCCAGCTGCCTTCGCAGCTGGCCTGATCTTTGCAGGGCTTCCCTTGGATACAGTACACTGTGGGAACCAACATGAGCTCACAACAGGTATGGTATTCCAACATGAACAAACTTGCCAAGATTCTGGTACGGTATCAGCTTCCTGGGGCCAAACCATTGCTTGCAGGGTTCATGTGGTGTCAAAATGTTTGGGTAGCACTGTCAATGTCCCATATGCAATTGAGAAACACTGGCATCTTTGGCAGCCTTGGCATCCCTCAGCATTTGAAGCTTGCGCTCATATTCCTGAGGTCGCATGAGGGTGATCTTTTTTGGCTTTGGGGCGACATCATAAAACACAAAAGTGTTGCGTTTGGTTTGTGTCTCCTCAATCTCCAGATCAACTTGTGCTTTGCCAGGTGTTTCGGTCTTCACTGCCATGAGCTTTTCATGACCATCTTTCAACTCTCCACAACTCCAAGTTTTTGAAGGAACGGTTTTCCGTTTGGAAAGCTTCCCATCCGCCATCCCTACCCACAACCTGTCAGGTTATGGCTGAACGACGAGCCAAATCCTTGTGGAGGCTCAACTGAGGGGATCAGGAATGGAAGCACATGGGTGAATGCTCAGGATTGGATGGAATTCTTGGCCAAATGACTCTAAAACCATCAAAAACCCGATTGTTGACAAACAGTGATAGTACGGAAATAGTACGTATTCTAGTACGCATTTCTACGACCTTTGTACGCATTTCTACGCCCCTAGTACGGGTACGAATCTCGGTACGGGTTCCATACGTACTAAATCCATACTAAGTACGTATTTTGCAGTTTTTCCAAATATCCTTTAAAATTTAACATATTGCTCCTAAAAACTGTTGCAACCACATCAAAAACAGATGAAACAGCTGAAGTTGGGCAATGAAGAAACATGTCCAGAACGATACGCAGGAGCATGTGTTCGAACAGCTTGCACCTGGAGTGTCACAGGCTAATTAGCACGCATGCATTCATGCGTGCAAAGATTCTGAGCTATAAGGTGCTATATAAGCTCTAGGCTAGAGTTGCACAAACTCCTTCTCTCTCCTTGACCCAACCCAACCAAAGTGCTTGAGGGAAGTGCAGTTGCTTCTTTGAGAGAAGGTGTTGGAATTTGCAACCACTTGATTAAATGTGCGTTGGGAAAAGATGCCTCAAGGATCCCAAACACAATCCCTTGGCTCCACGAAGGTAGCAGAATGTGCTGTCCATTCCAGCATCAAGCCACCAATCAGTGTCCCAGGAAAGACCTTCAAAAAGGTAAACTCCTAAGTTGAGATGTTCTCCCTCAATGCCGGCACCAAACTCCAAAGTCCGCTTCGCACAGAACCTGGAGTGAAGCTTGGTGATCTTCTTCGCGAAGCCAGGTGGATACGTCCTGGGCAACAACTGTGACACGGGACAACAGACCAAGTGGTGCAACATGTTTTCTTGGGGTCAATGATTGGACCATCTGTCAAAAACTTTTTGGTTTCAGAAAGGTTCCGTTCATAATGCTTCTTGACCAATAGTACAGTACACGACACCATGAGTTTGGGTGTGGAAGCTTTATATTGGGCGATGTTGATTGGTCTAGTTTAGAAAAAAAGCAATATCAATGTACAGGCACTGTGTTTGTTTGAGGAAAGATGAGCCGCAAAAGGCCACCTTGCCACGTTTGTTTCTGTACTTCTTGGTGGACTTCACACCCTGTAGTTTGTAGTGCGCCCTCACCATCTGACCCAAATCCAGAAGCTGCACTGTCGGGGAATTTGACCAGGCTATATGCCTTTTTGCCGTGGCAGAGCCATACATGCAGGCCCACCACCGAGCTTCATACACCTGCATGCACGATTAGTTGAAAAAGATCTCTACCACAAAGAAAAGCACTCACAACACATCCACATGTCCACTGACATGCAACTGGATTTTGTTTGTGGGTTTGGTCACTGTGGCCTTTGGAAGTAGCCTCCAAAGCAGTCTAATCCTAGGATGCCATATCACAAGGCTGCTTCGGGGCTGTTCCAATATCCACGTCCCTCCCATGGCCGTGATGGCCAGGATGAGGAGAGCTGTCCTGGAGCGACGAGAAGGCAGCGCGATCAGCACCAAGTTCGGAGTGTGTGGGAGGGGTTTGATGAGGATTGCTCATGTTTAGTTTCGCCTTTGATAGCTTGTGAGTTTTTTGAAAAACAGCATCGATGTCCATCCTTTTGAGAACAGCTTCCACAGTTCCACCCTTGAACAATTTCCTTTGGTGGGGTAATGTGTTGCACCCTTTAAATCCCTTAGCTGCATGATAATTCACGACCCACAGTTGCAACTTGCAAGCTGGTGAAGGCTCCTTGAAGTCAATTGGTTTCCCATATTCACAAATCCAAATTCATCACGACCCATAGGAAACCATGGTGCCCGATTGTGTGTCCCTTGCGACACGGTGACCCAGCTGCTGCATACCAAGCCGATGACCACGAGAAAGTTCTCGAATTTGCAATTGAGAATGGACAGGAGCACTAACCTTAGAAACTGATTTGGATAAGCAAAGGTCCACAATGTGTTTTCAGGGTGGGCTTGGATTTACAAGCAATGGTGGTCATCATGGTCTATCACTTTTGCAATCAAAAAGCGCGAATCCAGCATCTGACAATAAGTCCATTGCATCTTGCTTTCCGGGCACTGGTTCTCCATACGATATGTCAAAGCTTGCGGATGCGATACCATTCACTTTCATCAGTTTAGTCACCCATCCCTTGCCTGAGAAGAGCTCCAGAAAGCTGTATGCCTGGCCCGGGCACTGCATGCAAATAGTCTGTGGCGTATTGTTTTTTGTGGCTGTTTGCTGACAATCTTTTTGTGGCGTTTTGTGGTATACGGTATACTGTACTCTCCCTCAAAACCCAGCAGTCAACCATGGTTCCAACTGCCTCATTGAAAACATCAAAGTCCTTGTTCAAGGCCAGAAGCAAAATGCAGGCCATCAAGGCCTCGGGAGGCTGGGAGACACAGGTTTGATGCGTACGCGACCAAATCCTCTTAAACCAACCAGCGTCACAAGATATGGTTGCAGAGTTCAGTTTTGTCACTCAGTCCATGGAAACTCTGATTTGATCAAACCATTGGGCCCAGTGTCTTTTGGTGCCCCAATCGAATACAATCTCTGCAGCACTATGTTGAGCTTTCTCTGCTTCACCCCATCCATGGTCTCCAAAGCCATGGCTGACAGCAAGTGTCCTAAATGGCCGGGATCTTTGTAACCCTCAGCCCCAAACCAAAATGATCTCAGGGGACTTGCGATTGTGCTTGCACTGCAGTTGCGTCGCTGATGACACCAAAAAACATTTGCTGTGCACAGGAGAAAATCATCCTTTGTATATATTGCGTATTCAATTCAGTTCTCTGATATTCTCCGATACTTGCCAAACAAATCGTTTTGTGTTTGGATTCAAAAGGCACTTGACACATTTTGTGAGGTCAGTTTACTCTGAAATCCATGTCCCATCTCAGACCTCCTGACTTCAACCTGCACATAGCAAATCATGCCAGGGCTGCGGAGGTCATTCACGTGAAAGTCACTCCTGAGGTCATTGTTGTGAAAGTCAACCTCCATGGCTGGTCTTGGCCTCAGAAGAATTGGCAGGACCAGGATGAAGTGCCAGACAGGGAGGCAGGTGGTAGGTTGAAAGAGAGGCCCCTGTGAGGTTACCTTTTTTAGAAATCAATTCCAAAGCTTCCCAGAGCAACATGGGCAAGAGGAGCACAAAGCTGGGCCTTAGTGTTTGTGGTTTGTTGCGGTGGTGGCCATTTTTGAACATGTTTTCCCCAAAGAAGCAGCAACAACGATGGCACTCTATAGGGTGGGCCCATAGTACCACCTGTCAGCAATAGCGGTCGTCAAGCTTTGAATGAACATGGGTTTGCAAGAACAGTGCCCATTCCTACCAAAAGCATCAAAAATAGATATGTGCAACATGATCTATACTAGACCCTGGCTGAGTACATGTGTCAACTGACCGCCACCTAAGCTGACTTAGGCTGTTCAATGCCATATCGTTGTGATATTGCTCACCCAACTCTAAGTCTCGAATTTGCCATGATTGGCCTTCGCCAATGGACGCAGCACGGCTGGCTGCTTTCAATTTCTGGCTGAAGCACTGGGTGATATATCGAAAAGATACTAGTTTCATAAATTCCAACCATTGATGACGTCAATCTTCATAGTTTGATTCAAGTCTAAAGCAGTTGTACGGAGCGCCCAGGCTTCAACGCAGCAACACAACTATGCGCGCTGCTCCGCCAGGAACTCAGAGGCAGTAGACTCTGCCAGGGTATGGATGTTGCCTTCGTTCACCTCCATGGATTGCCACTTTTCCGTAGCGTGCTTCCAAAACTTGTCCTCAAGCGAGGTTGACTGTGAGATTGCATGTGAGGGTGGTATATGGTGGTTTTAAAAGGATTGACTCCTGGAGCAGTCTGAGGATGTCCTAGGTCTCAGCTCCATGCCTCTAACCGACCCTTATCAAAGTAAGACCAGTTTGGGAAAGGTATGCGCACTGTTTGGAAATAATTTTGCAAGCTGGGGGGAAACATGCAAATACTTAGTGAAAGTTTCGCTGGCACACCCGAATGCTCTAAACTTCAAAATGATACCCTTGCCAATTGCACAAGCACTGGCTCGACCAACAGTGACCAGAGCAATGACAACTCCGACTTCATCGCAATTTGGGATACGACGTAATACAAATGGGTTCCAGCTCAAGGTTCAGAAGACCAACAAGATTTGGGCACCCAGGATTCGAATGGGCATCGATTTCCAAAAGTTTGACCTACTAAGATTGAGCCATTTGCTTGCACCCAAAACTTATAAACACACACACACACACCCACTCTTCACCCTTGTGGGGCCTCAGCAGCCGAGTAGTGAGTGAGGTGCGGTTTGATCACTTCGTTGAAGGCCCCTCTCAAAGCATTCCACTTCAGCCGACCAAACTCTGACGTTGGCTCCGCCCTCCTCGCAAAGGTAGAAGGCGCCCCGCCGACCTTTCTCTTCGTAGGTTTGCGGTTGGCTTCCTTGCATTCTTTCTTCTCGCCTTTCAAACCATCATTTTCAACTGGTTCTTCCTTCAGCCCGCTCCTCTCAGTTTCCTGGGTTTTGTCCTTTTTGGCCCTCTTCTTCGCCTCAGGCTTGCTGGTACCACTCTTTTGCGTGATTGCGGAAGCCTTCCTCACCCGCTTGGTAGGCCCTGGTGCTACCTCACCTTCTTCATGTTCAGCACCATCAGAAGCCACCTCCTCATCTTCATTCTCCTCTTCCTCCTGCACCTCTTCTTCTGGTGCTTCTTTAAATTCCCGGGCCGGGGAAGTCTTCTTTGCTTTGCTCTTGGCCTTAGCCTTGGCCTTAGCCTTGGCCTTTGAGGCATTTGCCTTCGCCTTGGCAGCTGCCTTACCTTTTGCCTTTCCCTTCGGACGTCCTGGAGTCTTCTTTTTCTTCTCCTTCTCATTCTCATTGCCTTCCTCACACTTCAATTTTAGCTGATCCCGACGCAATACCTGAAGATGAGGCAAACAACATGAGGAAGAGAATTAATGCAGGAGGGAGCCAAAGATTCCACATAAAGAACAACAGATTTTCTTGAAAAGGCGTGTGACTCATGACTAAGGTAAAGTAAGCCCAACGACAAAAAGACCATATAAGTATAATCAAACAGGCTACAGTGGGACATTTAGGGACCTCAACTTCTCGAGTCTCCGAGAACATTTTGGCCAAATGCTCCATTTCCATAGAGTGCAGCAGTTGGGTTTCCCCATCCTCTCCCACCTCAGGCAAGCTCTCCAAGACCAAGTGCGGAGTCGACTTTCCACGTTGCAAGGCTTGGCTGGCCATCCTCAGCAAAGCCGGTTCGAAGACAATGGTCACTGATTTGCTTGTAAAGTAAAAAACTATACGGACCCCATATCCAGTCCTCCAATATCACCCATCTTTATTTCCACACAAAATGTGTCCGAGTAAATGACCAAATGTCTGGGAAGCTCGTTGCTTTTTGGCAACCGACAACTTGGCAGTTAGCTCACTGATTTGATCTTCTATCGACTGCCTGCTGTCGATCAAGTTCTTAGCGCACTGTTCCCAGCTTTTGTCTTCCTCCACCATATCCGTTTTCTCTGGGCTGTCTCCAATAAGATAGACTGGAACCTCGGTGGGAGCAGCATCAGAAGAAGCAGGGGCCGCAAGCGGTGCAGGATCAACTTGCATTTCAGGATCCTGGCTATCCTCCATGAAGGCGCTACCCTCCGCCGCTTCTCTACCCTCAGCTTCTTCTTGAAGAGGAATGGAATCCTCCATCAAAACCCCCCCCCTCAGCTTCTTGTTGAAGAGGAATGGAATCCTCCATGAAGGCGCTACCCTGAGCTTCTTCTTGAAGAGGAATGGCATCCTCATCATCCAGCTCTCCATCCGACTCCACACCTGCAATCTCCACTTCGTCCACATCTTGCTCTGGTTCCCCCTCAGGGTCCTGGAAGTCAGAATGGTTTGGTGGAAAAATACAAAATCAGCCACATGCATGATGAACCAGGATCAAAAGACACCAAACCCACAAGCTTTCAATGTTTCAACTTATGATATGATACAAGTTGTTTCCTTAAAATAGGCAATGACAGAGAAACAAAGCTCCTGGAAAGTCAACTTTTCTTCATCATCACGGTCGCCAAAAACCATGACCATCAAACTCTGGAACAAGGGGTCCCGGCAAACTTGCTCGCGCTGAAGCTTTCGTTTCAGAAGCACCATGCTTCCCTTGGCTAACTTTGCCTCATTCTTGAGATCCTTCTTGGATGGCAATGGGATTTTGAACCTGCCGTAGAGGGATTTGATCCTAGGAGCGCAACAGACAGCCAAGAAGAGTACCTACGACATCAAGTCTTTTATTGATCTTTTGGCCCAATGCCCCAATGATGGTAGGTTGATGGTGGAACACAAAAAAAATCAGACTTGTTACAGGTGAGATTCTCTTTCAAAAGGTCAGGCACCGTGAACATCCCAACCGTCCCAGGTGGATTCTGCAAACGTTGAGCTAGGGGCTTCAGCACTTCAAAGTTCATGCTGCAGCAAGCAACAGTGGCCGATAGGGTTTCCTTCCCCTCTTCAGGCAAGAACAGACGACGTTTCTCCCGCATCCTCTCACGTAAATCAGCAGAAGAGTCCCACTCATCCACCACACCAGCAAGGGATGCCATGCCCAAGGAAGAGTACCAGAAACAGCACAAAAACTTGAATCAAAAATTTGGCTGAGGAAACAAAAGGCATGATTTGTCCAAACAGTGCGCCAGGTCCAGTGAAGCTGACACAACGGGATGCAGTGTATCATAATGGATTTGTTTAACCTATGAACTATTTTGCTATGGTAGCAACAAACACGTTGGGGGATCATGGTCCTTTCAGACTTGGTTATACTTCAAGGACAAGTTTGTCCACAAATGCCCATTCTTTCGAGTTGTGACCAGCATCCCGGTTGGCTGAGGCCCCCAACAGGTCAAAATGACCAGCTCGATGACCAGCGGCCGGTGGCTACACCGGGAAAATGTTCGCTGCGACGAACGTGGATGTGAGTGGCCGGTGGGGAAACCGGGGCTGTGATTGGATACCAGTCCAAAGATGCACACCAGAAAACCTTCTATGATCTTCTTGGCCCAATGATCATCAATAATCTAATGAGAAGCAGTGTATTTGAAGTGGAGGGTGGCCAAAGAGTTCATCCAATCTTTAGATGAACATCACCAAATAGCACTTGAGGGTGTGCATCTGGTCACTTGTCCTGGGATGTCCTGGGCCTGGGTCCCAAAACGCAACCCTTTCGCAAAACACGCTCCTTTGTTCAAAAGGAAGGATTTCGGTTCCAAGACCGACTTTTGAAAGCGACCTCTAAAAAGGAAGGTCAGGGAGGCTGCAGGTATATATATTTCACTGTACATGTACACGCAA